AATTCTGGGAGTTGAAGCCCACAGATCTCAAAGTTGCCACGTCAGAAAAACACTGTTGTAAATCTATTAGAAAGACAATTTTCCTTTCAGGGATGTTGTCACGACACACATAAAATCAGCTTTGATTGTCCCATGGCAGCTGCCATCTTGACTTTTTTGACCATACCCTGTGGACACCCCTGCCTCCTTTCTAATTGATTGCAGGCAGTTGCTGAAAGGTAGCTTTACCTGCCCAGGTTATGAATTTTTGGATGTGCTCCAGTCGGCCCTCCACCTTGGTCTGCATCTGCTCCATGGTGTGAAGGACCAGCCCAAAGCTCTTGTTCATCTTCCGCAGTTTCCCCAGTAACTCATCATGATACAAGGTGGTTTGGTTTTGATAGGCCAGGAACAAACCCAGATTAGCATCTGGAAGAAGAGAAAGAAGGCCTCAGGCCCGATGGAAAGGAAAGGCAAGTGGGCCTCAACTCAACAGAGTCTTCTCCAACCTGGGGTTCTTCCAAGCACGTTAGACTTCTGTCACCCCCGACCCTACTGCCTAGGAATGATAAGAATGGAATTTAAACTGCTTCCACCACAAACCTATTTTGGAGTAGACTTCTTGGGCCCGTGTCTGGACTTGGCTTAGGTCCCTCAGGATGGACGTGTGTCCTTCCTGAAGATCCATATCCTGTTGGTCCAGATGATGGCTGACATTTTCTGTAGGAAGACAGACAGAGGCAGCACTGGGGATTCTGGTTCCAGTGATTGGTGGCAACAGGCCACGTTTTGCCATAAGAGCATGTGAGGCGAGGCTGCACAAGCTATGGTGATTCATTACTGTCAGGTAATTGTGGCACCTGCTGAAAGCTTCTTCAACCAGCAGAATAAAAGGAGGTTGAGAAACACTGGCTTAGTGTGTTGTGGAAAACCAACCACTGGGGCTTTTTAAAAACATGATTAAAACAAGCCATGGTATATTTCAGTCTGAGAAACCAGTCACAGACTTAGAACTGGCCGTGGAGGCCCTTGAACCCAACCCTTGGCTTAGTTGAGGAACCCAAATTAGAGCCCCCTCCCTGGCCAAGGGCAGTCTAGCACTGCCCACCGAGAGGAGAGAGAACCATTCTTGACCTTCTCCTCTGTGTGATGGGCACCTGAAGAGAGCTACCCTACCCCCTACCCCCTACCCCTTCATCAAGGCTCCTCCAATGCAACCCAGATTTCAATTCCAGTCTTTTCTGCCGTTCTCTGAGTCCTTAAAGGACTTGGGAGCCCTGAGATGGAAGGAGATTTTGCTCTATGATGTTTGGAGGTGCACCAGGAACCCTTCGTTTCTCCTCCCTACTCCTTGCTCTCACCCATCCTCCGCGTGATGCCCTCAATCAGCTCGGCCACCTGCTGCTGCCCACTGGCAATCAAGGCCTTCTCCTGGACCAGTTGCTCCAGATTGCCAGAAAGGGATTCTTCCATTTGCATCTGGCTGCCTTGCAATGACTCTTGCTGGGCAAGCAGGTCTTCCTGAGCACTAACCACTCTCTGCAGGGACTCCGACGTCAGCACCTTCAGGTCCTCCTGACTCTTCTGCGGTGGGAGGAAAACCATGGAAATGAAGCGTCAGAAGCTGCAAAAGTAAAGGTTACAAGGAGGGGAAGAGGAGCCGCAAAATAAAATACTTTAGGGAGAGGAGCCATAGCAGAGAGAAACAGAGATGTGCCACGCTTGCACAAGGTCCAACCCATTTCTTCCAAAGCACATGAAGCGGGCACAGAGTAACATTCTGGATCATTAATAGATGCTCTATGGATTTAGAGCAGTGTTTCTCAACCTCGGGGACTTTAAGCTGTGTGGACTTCAACTCCCAGAATTCCCCAGCCAGCATGCTGGCTGGGGAATT